GTAAATTTCTTAATGAATATTTAATATTTTCTTTGAATTGTAATAAATATAATATTTTTTATATGGCGCACATATATAATATCTTTTATATATATTTTGTTTTTTATCCTCTAAACAATAAATCTTTCTAAAAATTTATCAAATAGAATTAAACTTTATTTGGATTCGTATATTTAAGCGTGTACTTCTTGAATATTTATTATTTTGAATAATAAACGCAATTTATTTTAGTGATTAGCGATGATATGAAAAACAAGCTTTCGTGATCTATTTATATATCAAGATCGTGAAAATTCTTCATCAATAATTGTCAGATAGTTATTGAATATTTATGAATATAATAATAAGTCGAGTTAATTATCGAGTTAATTACGATTTTTATGTTACAAAATTGCGGAAATCACGAAAATTATTTGTTAAGATCTAACACGCACGAAGGGCTTTATAATCATAATTGATCAATTATTTAATACCAAATTATGCATATGTTTGTACCTATATAGTTTATTTCGGATTTTATGCGAGCCAATATTTTGTTTATCCGGAATGGAGAAAATAGAGTAGCGAGTGTGATGAGACGAATCGATAGGAAAACACCATTCTTCCATCATAACGGATAATTTTTTCCTCTAAGCGATCTACTCGATATGAGTTGCGATCGTTATCGATTTATGAGTAGTAACATCCCCGAATGTGCCGAATCCGTTCCATAAATATCGAGTAGCGCATAGCTTTTCGTTGTATCTGTCATAAATACGCATTTTATCTGCCGTGGGATTTAAAATGAAAAACAGTCGTCAAGAGCTCATGGGATTACTCGTAAAAGGGGCCGATGATCGCGGAAGGGTTTTCACTGCACTGACGTACTTTACATCCTTCAATCACAACTTTGCTGACTTAATGCATCCCTCATAGAAAAATTTTCTAGGTAAAAAAAGGTTTATATAACACATTTCTTAAATAATTTTTGATTGGTGAAAGTCAAAAAGTTTGAAAAAAGTTTTCTCCTTTTTTGTTGAAAAAAGATAAAAAAGTGCAGATGTTTTTATAGATTTACTTTACTAAAATTAAGTGAATGCTTGCACTTCGTTAAAACTATGCAAGTAATTGTTTTGCTACTTATTATTATTATTATTATCGTCATTCTATTATCTTTTATTATAATTGCTATAAATGTGATTATCTTCACGTTACAATAAGCTTTTTAACGTTTACATGAGTATTTTTGTCATATTGCGTAGACTTTTATTTTTCGATATTATTCGGTTTGTGGCACTCTTGCATACAGTGTTCCATTTCTGTTGAAATATTACTGAAATACAATACGCAGGAAATCACATTGCATCTCTAATTGCTGAAATAAATTACGTTGGCCGCATTTATGTATGTATGTTCAGATACAAAAATATATAAATTATTTGTTTAAAAATTATGTTTGTTTTGTATACAATTATTGTGAATTTAATTATTTTCTTATTAAAATAATGCAGAAAAATATGAACAAAATAATTATAAAATATGCTTATTCTACTTTTGTATATAAAAGTTGGAAATTTAAGAAAAATAAAAAATAGAATTTAATCGTACGCGTGCGCAAAATTCGAAATGTTAAAAATGCGGAGCACTATATTTTAAACGGTATCCAAATAAAAGTAAAAATTTTCGGTAATTGAATAATGATAATATTGTATTATAGTCTTATTTGATAATATTATTGTATATAAATAAAAGAACGCATATGTTTTCTTTTTAATATATAAATAAGGTTTTTATTCCATGAATTCAATTTACAACATGATTTTCATACTTTATAAATTTCAACGATGCTTTTTATTCTCCATGGGAAACGATAAAGTAGTATAAAAGTTATATTTCAATTTACACGTCTGAAAAATATTTTCAAAATTTCAAAAGCTCGTGATGTGAGATCATAAATCTCGCGTGACGAGAATCAACCTTATGCTAGGTGACTAAGGAAAATGACTAAAGCCTCTCGAGCATCGAGACGGCACGTGTCGAATTATTCATCCATCGGCGGTCTCAAGGAGTACTTGTGTGAAAGCAGCCTTTATTATTTTAAATGTTACAGAATAAAGAAATATAATAGAAATAAAATTTTTTTTATATAAAAGTTTAAATTTATTTTATTCTCGTTAAAGTTTTTCGAAAAAAAAAGTTTTTGTTAACGCAATACATAATCTTTTTGTATACTTCTATTTTGTATACCTATATTTCTTCCATTCTTAAGTAAAGTTTTATGTTAGAGAAGCATGCAACATAGGCTAGTCACAGAAATGTTTACCTGATTTATCTTCACCGCGCATGAAGTAAAGGCGTATGCCGGGAGAAAAATAACCTTTGAATAATACAAAATTATATTACAAAAATTAAAAATTTATTACGAAAGAAAGCGTTATATAATATATATATGATCGAATCTACATACACACATGCATGCATGTGCGCACACGCATATACATATGTATACATAAATTTATTCTGTCAAAAATCTATTAGTTTTGATTGAAATTACTGTTTATATACGTGATTTCTATGAACTATGTAAATTCTTAATTGTAATTCTATTTGTTATTACAGTGTTATATTAAGTGACTTTTGAAATCAAATATTATCAAATATTAATATAAATAATAATCTGAATATGAATCTGAATATTGATAACTTAACCCTTACCGATGCACAACGTAGTTTTGATCAATGTTATGATTTATAAAATGCAAAAATATCCAAATTACATATAAAACAGTGTTCAAAACTAATATTTTAAAAAATAATTATTGTGCGCCATTAAATTTTGTTTATTTGTTCTATCTGAAAAAAAAAGTATTCAATAAAAATTTTCTTTAAATATAAACTTTTATAAAAATAAATCAAAATTTAATTCTCTTAAATAAATAATCTTAATAATTATACATTCATTTTTTTTTTATATAAACACAATATTTTAAAACTAAAATATTTTACATGTATCTACATATATAAAAATATTAATATTGATATACATAAATTACTTGAGAGTAATTCAAAATAAAAATCTAGAATTTTTTATATTGTATATATTATATTACACGAAATAATTACTGGATTATTATCGTAGAGATAAATGCGAGCAATTATTTTCACAGATAAAAATTGTATTAAATTAGCTCCAACTTGCTCACTACATGCTTGCTCCGTTATTATCCGACATCAAACTACATTGTTTTCTTTTGGTCATCTTTTACTGTTTTATGGCATTTACACTCATTCACGAAAACATGGTGAATTACAATCGTCCGCGCACTAATCAATAGACTATTATAAGACATTTGCACGGCACTCTTGATATTAATCGTACGCGTGCACTTTATTATACTATGATAAAGACAAATGTAAAAATTACAATTCGTTCAGGATTCGTAAAATTACGCAGCTAAATTTACGAGTCATTTGTTAAAGCAATTCTAATTCTGTTTCTAACGAATAGTGCATGCTTTCATAATTTAAAGAAATTTTATGTTATAATATGAGAATAAATACAAGTAAAATAAAAATAAGTCTTTGCATACCACAATATTAAAAAAAATTGTTAAGTTGGCCGACTATTTGCATAACAAATTTTGATCGAATAAATTTTGCGAAATATATGCTTTGATCAATTAAAAGACCCATGTACAAATGTTGAATTTATGATATATATTATGATCAATAAATATTAAAATATCTGAAATACTGGGATTAAAATAACAATTTTACTTATTAAATACGTCGCGACGTCATTTGATTCGTCATCGATCCGTATTGTATCTATGACGTTTTGTTAATGACTCAAAAATAAGAAAATGGTCCCGTTAATCAGTATCTCCATCTTGTGAAAGTGTGATGTTGCATAATATTACATGTATATAAATTGAATTAATGGTTAATTACAACGATGGACTGCCAGAAAAAAAATGAAATTCCATATTTCAAGCATAGTACATTTCCAACGCATATAATATATATAAATCCCGCGAGATACAATTATTATTAATAAACACGCGATACTCCTCATGCTTTTTTGTTATTTGAATCAAATAGCCGTCACAATATTGTTGTGTTATTTTTGGTATCTTAATGACTCAAGCCTGAAATTCGTGTATTATTGCACATTTTAAATTTAAATGATTATTTAATTACATCTAAACCGACGAAAAATTTAAAGCGTGAGAGGCGAAATATATTTTAATTCAAGCATATTTAAAGAATTAATTATTATCCATAAATAAAACAATCAAATAAAAAAATAATAATTTATAATTTCCATCCTCTGTCAAGCTTTGATTCTGGCTTAAAATATATAAATTGCGTGAAATAACTATTTTACTAAGTCGCCACTTCGATATTCTTACGAGTATATAAATAATAAGTACCTCTTCAAATATGCGTGGATTAAAATATATTTCTCTAGCTTTAAATTTTTCGCTAATTTGTTAATCTTTTTTGAATTGAGAACACACAATGATATACAAATTGCAAATCATGTACTTCAAATAACGAGAAATTATGATACATATCAATCATTTATTACATATTATTGTATCATACATATTATCGTATATCATGTTGTATCGTATTATATTATGTATTATCATACATATCATATATATATAATATTAATATTGTAATTGATATAAAACTTGACGAAACAGAATATTTTCTATTCCTTTATTTCGTATCGTTACATATTTTATAACGGCAATAAATATACATATTATTAACTGTATGTCAACACGGTATATTCGGCGCTCGTTCTGTGCGGCGCATAGCGCGATATTGTTGACACGTGGTGTGACCTTGTTGTCATTCGCGCGGCGAGACTCAAGCTGGAAGGTAGCGGAGCGAGCTGCTTTGTGTGTCATATTATTCTTCAAAATACGATTATTTCTTATAAATTATTATACAATAGCGATTATTAATTCGCACGATTAATTAGTTCCCACAATAAATGATACGTAAGAATTATGAAGACAGTTATTTAAGTAACGGGAAAGCATGATACATCGCGTGTTTAATAATGTAATAATAGATGTATATCGTGGGATTTATATTGAAAATATACTGTGCTTGTAATATATTATTGAATTTTGGTTATATATTTTCTGGCAATTTATCTCACATCTTATTAGCCATTAACTCGTCTCGCATAGTATCGCGCAATCGCAGATTAGATTAGTTTAGGTTTTCGAGTCTCGAGCAGATTATAGTTTTTGCTTTTATTCTTCTGTCGCAATATAATAAAGTGTACGTCGCGTGCAATCAAGAGTGTCGTACAGTGTCACGCGACTGAATTCTGCTGATTAGCGCGCGTGTGATCATAATTAACCTTGTTTTCGCGAGAGAATACGAGTGCAAAGCAACAATGAAAGATGACCAAGAGAAGAAGAGGTCACCCGGGAAGACGTTTTGTGACAACGGAACAATCGTGAAGTGAGTAATATATAATTAATTTAATTTATTTGTAAAATTAATTGCTCGTTTATCTCCATAGTAGTATCTATCTATTAATTATACCGCGTTATATAATGTATACATAAGCTATTCTAGATTTTTATTCTGAAATACTTGAAATATTTGTATCAATGTTAACATCTTTGAGACATAGATACACGTAAAATATTTTAATTTTAAGATATTGTGTTTACGATTATAAGATAAATAATTATTAAGATTATTTACATATAAAAGAGAATTAAATTTTTATTATGTTTAGTTAAAATTTATTTGTTAATATATTATGTTTAGCAAAATAAAAATTTATATTAAAAAAAATTCTTTTTTCATAAATTATGCTATTTTTTATTAAATATCTTTTTTAAAGGATGAAATTTAACTGCACGCACAATAATCATTTTTTAAAATATTAGTTATTTTGTGGACACACTGCGCGTTTAATATACATATAATTTGCTCGTATTTTTCAAACAACAATATTGATCAATTTTACTGTTGCGCATTGTACCCGTGAGTGTTAAATTATTTTAGTTTTTGAAAATTAGATTATAATTTTTATTAACAATTAATATACATATAAATAGTAATTTTTATAATAATTAGTAGATTTTTTCGACAGAATAAATAAATAATAAGGAAATAGTCTATAACTATTATCGTACTCACAATTTATGAACAGTCTAAACACATAGCCTGTAAATAATCATCTTCATATTTCGAAAACTATATTTCAAAAAATATTATTCTTACATACTATTTTTCAAAACATGTTATATTTTAAAATCTATCGCTTGGGATAAAAAATTGTAAATATTTGTATTATTTAATTATTCGTGGAACCTTTTGCTGTATCAGTTTGTTTTTTAAATTCTGGAACATTTTATATACATATTAAAGAAAAATAATTCCAAAATTACTAAGATATTTTTGATCGAAGATAGAAATGTATAACTTTTGATGAATTTCATATAAAAGTAAAAATCAATCGATATTTATATATTTATATATTCATATATAGCATTTATATACATAGCACACATATGTTTATGTATAAATTTACGATAGGTATTCGTGGCTAACTGAAAAATATTTCACCATAGAAATTGTCTAGAATCAAGCGAGAAAAATGCGAGTCGCTCAAAACTAAAATCCAAACTTGTAATTTAAACGATGGCCATTTATTCTTCTGCTACGCAAATTCAAAATGAATCGTCTCGCTAAAATATATATCGGTTCCTCGAATGTTCATATTTTTTTTCGCTATTGTGGAACACGCAGAGTCATCTTTTTAACAGTCGTCTTTCAAGTCTATTTCACACCAATGACCATCTATCTATTCCATTTCGAAAGTTCCGACTGACAACGTGTCGGGTTCGGACGTGTTTTTGCGTGCTGCGTATGTCCTTTGTCTGGACCTTTTTTTTGGACTCTTCCTCTCTTAAGAGGAATTTTGCTTATATTTCACAAACCCATAAGAAACAATGGTGTATGGGCGACTAATGCCCAATCAGCCATAAAAGAAAGAAGAAGAAGTACTCCATTTCGAGACACAATAAATTCGAGAATGGGTGACGATTGTGCATGCCGTTATAACTCGGAATAAAACACATACATACCAGTCAAGTTTTTCCTCTTGATTGCTTTGAAGGATAATCGAATTCGAAATGCGTGAAGAAACATTTGTCGAGAGGCATGTATGACCGTATATATGTCACATTGATCCATTGCTTTGTATATATGGGATCTGTCCTTTCAATTTTTATTATGGCGCGAAAAGAATTGTTTTATCAGGCTATAATCTTCTGAATTATCGAACGAATACTAAATAAATACAAATGCTTTTATATATATTATTTTTTACATTTTTAGATTTTATTTTGATCACGTTGACATAAGTTTAAAGAATTATTAAAACATTTCAAATATTTTTTGCGAGAAACTTACGTATATGTGTATGTATATATGTATACACACACATACATGTTTTTTTATATATATATTTAATTTTTTACATTTTATTTTGATCACGTTGACATAAGTTTAAAGAATTATTAAAACATTTCAAATATTTTTTGCGAGAAACTTACGTATATACGTATATGTGTATGTATACACACACATACATGTTTTTTTATATATATATTTATAATATATATATTATTTTAATATTTCT